TTGCAATAATACGAAAACCACTGCAATAATACGTCTTACAAATTTCAATAGCACTCATCGAAACTGAACAAGTGTTGCTTTCGAAATCGCGAACAGTTTTGGAATAGAGGTATCGATGAAGTATTGATCAGAGAAGTTGAATCTATCCGTGAACAATTTCGACTTGAATTCACAACCGAACTTGACTGTTGCGAATATTCATTTGAATTCATTCGCAACAAATCACTCAACACGAACGAATTGCAATACCGATCAAATAACGATTAATTTACTTGTTGAAACGATCACTTCAACTGTGCCAGAACTCGTCGCGCCTTCCCGATCTCTAACGGTTAATCTGCAATGTGTTCGTATTGAAACAACAATCATGCATTCAATAAATTCCAAAGATTAACGTTTCAAGAACATTCTTGCATTCAATCGCCTTGCATTACATTAGAAGATGGATTTTATAACATGAACTGAAATGAATCGACATTGCTAAAATTTGCAAAGTTAAGGCAATAATTACTAACAATAAATAAGTAACATCTAGCACTATACTGATTTGCATTGTTCCATCTTTCTCAAATTGCTAGAGTGACACTTAAAAACGATGTTTTGAAAACAATACGAACCACCTCCGTCATTTTTACAAATCAAAACAATTCATCAACAATAACTGGAACGAGAATTAAAGATCAGAAGTACGCACCCGAACGAATAATTGCCCACAACAAGATTATCGAGTCGGAGGATAGCCGCATTCATCGCTGGTAATTGAACTACCGGACCGTTCAGCAATTTCCATTCGAATTCCAAATGTGAATCATCCTCATCCGAGCTACCTAAATCCGTCAAATTAGACGTCATCAACTTAATCTTACCTTACTGCAATCCTGTCTCCTCATGTTTTATATCACCACACACTCAACACTCCCTCTATCAAGACGTAAACGTTCGACATTCAACGAGGAAACCGTCGTCGTCTTCTACCATTCAATAGTTTCGAAGCGGTGCACTTCAATCGAACTCGAAAAATGGGGCTATGACGCAATACGAGTGCGGAATAATCATAAATCATGGATATAAAAGTGATATGAAATGAAATAAATTAGTCAAATTTTGAAGATGAAACCTTCGGCATCAAGAATAATGCGGCTTCCTTCAGTAGCAAGAACTGGACTCTCAGGTCGGATCACAACTACAGGCGGTTTATTCGGTTTCTTTTCGGACAGTACTTGTAATGAATGGTCGTGATATGTGTGCGAATGTTCATCCGATACGGTTGCTCTTAGTCGAATGACGCCTTCTTTTAGCTGAAATTTATCTCATCTAGCATTCACTCGTCGCAAAAAATACTTACATCATCGACTGCAAATTGCTGCAGCAATAAAATTTTCACCCGACTGCTGTTAACAATTTCATTTACATTTCATCCATGTCCTTATGTAAACCGATACAGCAACGAATGAAGCATAAGACAGCACGCTAGATGCAATATTGACTAGATCTGTGACCAATGGATGGAACTCTATCATACTCCATTCTATTCCAGGCTGAACGTTTCATCGATGTATTTATGAGGATTCCATATTCACGATACTCGGAAACTGAACAATTGTTCAAGCATTTATGTCAAAAACGAAGTATATTTGATGAGTAAATATCAGAACACTATCTAAATGCGACAAATACGAACACCAGTGAGTGTCAAATTCGGCTTCGTGTACGTATCCGCTGAACCGAAACCACCTCCGTCAAGCAATTCCCAATAATAAGTGTAGTTAGAAGCATCTGAAAATGATTTAACGTGACATCACACAAATAATCTTCTGTTCAGTTTTTGCCCCAATATTTTATTTTCAGAAAAAAAACAATATTCATTGCCCAATATTCATTTTCAATCCCAATTTTTTATTTTCGGATGATTATAAAGAGAAACTATCAGATCACAAGAAAAAAAACCAATCATTAACAATAATGTCACAACTCCAAATTGAAATGGAATTACCAGAAGTGTCGTCCAAATGGATACTTAAATTAACGCTGTCCTCTGGTAGATGAACAATGAGTGGACCGTCAATTCGAAACGGAATCGCGTCTCGCTGCGCTGAATCCGTTGTGTTGATTAATTGCTCTGATTTGGGTTCACATTTATTTGATGTTTCTCCACGATCAAAACCATCTTTACATACACATTCCTCTTTTTTGTTTTCCGATGTACTCTACAATGAACACTAAATGAAACACGTCATATCAAATTTGCCAAATAATACCAAATCAATAAATCATCACTGATCACACGAACCTTACAAATTTCATTCTCTACGCAAACGCGGCCACCACATTTAGATGCTGTGGCTGCAGCTCGTTCTGAATCCGGAACGTTTCTTGAGCTATTCACAGGAACCTTAACAAAAAAAATATACTCTCCCGCTCCAGAATATATTATTCCATTGAGATTGTCATTAAACAAAAGCCTACTTTCTCTTGTCACTAATATTTTCATCTTCATTG